ATTAAAATATATTTAAGTGAGGCCAGAGCTGTGGCGTAGCGAGTAAAGCCTCCACCTGCAGTGCTGGCATCCCATATGGGCACTTGTTTAAGTCCCAGCTGCTCCACTTCTAATACAGCTCTCTGCTATGGCCTGGGAAAGCAGAAGATGGCCTAAGTCCTTGGGCCCCTGCACCCGTCTGTGAGACCAGGAAGAAGCTCCTGGTTCCTGGAGTCCTTGGGCTCCTGCACCCACGTGGGAGACCCAGAAGAAGCTCCTGGCTTCAGATCAGCCCAGCTCCAGCCACTGCAGCCATCTGGGGAGTGAACCAGCAGATGGAAGACTTCTTTCTCTCTCTACCTTTCATATAAATAAATCTTTAAAAAATAAAGTAAAATAAAATACATTTCAGTTTTAGTGATTTAAAAATCACTCCCCCTCAGGGCCAGCGCCGTGGTTCACTAGGCTAATCCTCCGCCTAGCGGCGCCCGCACACCGGGTTCTAGTCCCGGTTGGGGCGCCGGATTCTGTCCCGGTTGCCCCTCTTCCAGGCCAGCTCTCTGCTGTGGCCAGGGAGTGCAGTGGAGGATGGCCCAGGTGCTTGGGCCCTGCACCCCAGGGGAGACCAGGAAAAGCACCTGGCTCCTGGCTCCTGCCATCGGATCAGTGCGGTGCACCGGCCGCGGCGGCCATTGGAGGGTGAACCAACGGCAAAGGAAGACCTTTCTCTCTGTCTCTCTCTCTCACTGTCCACTCTGCCTGTAAAAAAAAATAAAAATAAAAATAAAAAAAATAAAAAAATCACTCCCCCTCAAATGGAGCAAAACCTGTCAATGGACTTTGAAATACCAAGTAATCAGTAATCAACTAATAACCAAAACTTTAAAAAGGAAAAAAGTATTCAATAACTAACAAGGAAGTTTAATGCCACTAGCAAAAAGGAGAGAGTACTTATTTTGTTCACGTCACTGAGAATCAATCAATTTTGAAACAATGCATTGTATTTATCATTCCTGATTTAAGAATTCAGTTCACTGAGTTAGAGGAATACTCCACCTCTGGAAATCACACTTGGAAACAATTTGGCCTATAGCTAGAAACCATAAGCTTTTGCTCAGGCTGAAGAATTCAAATCAACACCAATACTCAGCTGCAGAAATAAGCCAGGAAAGGTAAATAGACAGATGACAAAGAATAAACAACCTAAAGTTGCAACTATCTCCGATAGTCACAGAAGTTTCATCTCTATCCAAGCTTCTCATGACCAACTAGTCCACTTAATGGCAGATTCTGAAGTACAATTAGCGTCTAAAAACTGGGGGGGGGGGGGGGGGGGGGGGGTAGGAAAAAGGAATTAAACAAGTAAAATCTATCGGCATATTTACACAGTTCTAGTTTTCCCAAAAGACTTAAATTTGGTTTATATAAACCATCTCAATTCTCAGGGGGAGGGAGAGAGTCAGGTTTCTGGAAGGAAACAAGCACAAAGGGATTAAGTGTCTTGTCCAGCAAGTCACCAACGAAAATAAAAACCACATCCCAATTATTTAGCCTACAAAGCCTAAATAACCTGCTTTCCTTGGTTCATAAACTTAGGGATAATAGTTTTAAGTGCCTACAAATGACCCCGTCACATCAGAACACTATGGCAGAATTGAGTATTCTGAGCAAGAAAGTACTGCTCACCTCAAATCAATAAAATGAACTAGCACAATGGACTTTAAAAATACAAAGGGGAAACAATGGCCATATTTTTGAGAATTTTCAAAGGTCATTCTTTTCAGCAAACACCTTATTGCTCAAATTCTCTGCCAAGGAGCAAAGGGGGTTAGATATGCTCCCACTAATTATAATCCATACATACATCAAATCCCAAAATACTCCCCAAGAGTTTCAGTCAAAAGCCTACTATACTTAAAAACCTTTCCCTCCAAAAAAAAAAAATCTTAAAGCAATGCCTTCAAAGCATTATTTTGCAGCCTGCATGACACACCTGAAATTTAGATTTCAAAAATCATTAGCTTCCAGGCTGTGTTTAAAATATTTGTATTCACAGATTCAGATTGCTTTAAATTTGACGTTCTGTTCAGCCCTCATTAAGTTTAGGCAAGATTCCCACTTCCACTCAAACTTTATTATTTGAGCATACAATGGCTGCATTAAGATGCATCCTAAATTAACGAGACAAAAACTAAACAACCCAGAAAGCTCCCAACTCTCCAAGCAGGCCTTTTATTTGAAATCATACTAGGTACATACTACACACTACACAAAGCTCAGAGAGTGACAAGTTATTCCTGCAAAATGATGAAATTTATTTTTTTCTTTTACCAAAATTTGACAAGACTGAGTTTTCAGCGTCAAAGAACTCATTTTTCAGGATTCTAGGAAACTCTGCTTATTGAAGCAGTCTCAAAGCAGTTTGCTTAATCCTTCCAAATCCCAAAGAATCTAACACAAGCCACACAATGCTGAATGACACCTGCCCAGCTAACGCCTGTGCTCAGACCCCTAAAGGTTATTTCCCATGTGGTTACAAGCTGATGGCCATATGTCCACCCAACCCCAGAAAGGTCTTTCCTCCGTAATTTTAATATTACACTCCCCAACTCAAACCAAAATACCACGGAATCCAAAAAGCCTCCAACTAAATTTTACTTGAACTAGGTGGGACAAAAGCTGATGCAGTCTCAGTTATTCACCCTATCAAAGAGAGCTGAAGAATGAAAAGGCTCCATTTCTGCCAGTTTTGAAAGCTGTGTGTACATCACTTCAGTCTGCCTATAACAAGGGAGTCAGATACTATATCACCCGATGCCTGATACTGCCCCATTACCCAGAAAGCACCAAGGTATCTGAGGTACACCAAGGTATCCCTTCCTCCGGCTCACACAGCTACTTGAATGCTGCTGGCAGCTGGGCCCTCTCCTGCAGTTTCACAAAGACATCTCATCTGCCCTACACCTGCTGCAGCCCACTTCCATTCATTCTTGGTGCACTCCTCATGACACTGTAAAGCTCCTCTATCTGTCCAGTTGTCAAACCAATACGCTAGGACAATGCCCACCACACACCTCCTCCAGACTTGGGAATATGTACTCAGCTCTCCCTTATCCCTCCCCTATTCAATGGGTTCTGGGATTAAAATCAGGCTTCGATCCTAGAAGCCTGAACTTTCATATATGGTACAGGATTTAATGTTTCCCCTTTTCCATGAACATCAGTCCAGGATCCACATCCCCTGCCCCCGACCTCTCTCCATCTCCAGTTCCTCTAAATCTGGATTTTAATCCTCTCCTTTTAGGTTGCCTTTTCCCCCCAACTTCTACACTCTACCCTCCTTTATACTTTCAGTAACCTAAAAATTCTGGCCCCTTTAATCTCTCAAGACTCAAAATATTCCAATCCCTCCCCATAGTCCCACACTTTGGACTTTCCATAAGCAACCTGCTTTCCTAACTCTCTCCAACCTAAACAGTGGTTTCTTGCCCTAAACCTGCACCCCTCCAATATAATACACCAACAGCCCTTCCTACTCACAGACATGCCCACACACACCTACCTTCCCCTCCCTACCCCAGTTTAGGTACTACACATTCTTCTACATCCTCTACTCCAAAATATCCCGTCTTCCCCTCTTGCGTCTCCACTCCCTCTTTCCCTCTCCCTAAGCACAAAGTCCATGGCCCCACACCTGTGTTTCCCTCTCTCCATGCGTGGTATCCCAGACCTGGACACATTCCCTCGGAAGCCCCTCTGCCTGCTCTTCTCATTCCCCTTCACCCACACCCCCATCTCCTTCCTTCTCCCCAACTTCTCCCCACACTTCCTTACCCATAAGCATGTCCATCCATGAGTCCCCACACCTCCCCTGCCATCCTTCCCTCTCCCCTCCACTCCCTTGTGGCCCACACATGTCCAAAGCGCCCCCAACCCAAGTTTCCTGGGCTGCGGCTCCCTGCCCGGGCCAACACCTTCTCCCTCCCTCCCTCGGACGCCCACCAATGCCCCGCGCACCTCCTCCTCCTGTTCATCCTCATCGCCCTAACCCATTGTCCCCACGTCTCCCCCAGTCTCCTTGCACCCCACACTCCCCATCCCTGCCTCCTGGCCAGACGCCCCTCGCGGTCTCCGGGAGCCTCGGGCCTACCCTCCGACAACACCTTCAGCCGGGACACCCTACATTTCCCTCACCGTCACTCGAGAGACCCCCCCGATGCCCACCTACCCTGCCGGCCACCCTTCCCCCTACCGGGACCCCTCCTCCGCCATTCTCCTCCACACGCGTCCGGTGGCCTTTTCAGTATCTGCCCCGCTCCCTGCCCCTCGCACGCAGCACCGGCCGGGACATCCGCTCCTTCCATTCCTGCCTCCGACTCCCCGGTCCCATCCCACTCCCCTCTGCTCTCCCCAAAGCGCCCTCCAGCCCACCCCATACGGGCTCCCCCACCCACAGGAATGTCCTACATCCCTCTCGCCGCTCGCCCTAACCCCCAGCTCCCCCCCCCCAAAAAAAAAAAAAAAAAACCTGCCCGAAGGCCCTCATCCTCCGGCGACCCGGATACCTCCACCCTCCATTTCACCCCAAACCTGCCCGCACCCCCTACCTGCCCCCCCCCACGCCTCTACCCTAGCTCCTGCCCCCTATGTCCTCCAACACCTGCTCCAAGCCCCTCGCCCTCCATCCTACCCAGACCTCCCGGCGCCCGGTCCCCACACTGCCCACGCCCTCCCCTTGGTCTGGGCCGGGACCCCGTCCCCCGAAGGTGAGGAAGGCTGCCAGCTGCCCTTGCCCGGAGCGGCCGGGACACCGCAGCGGCGGCGACGGTCACAATGCCGGAGCACCGGGCCGGGATTGCTCCCCGCTCCCCGCCCGGCCGCCGCCGCCACCGCTGCTAAGGACGCACAACAAACAATGCGGGGCCCGGGCCGGCTCCGCCAACCGCCTCAACCGCCGCCTCAACCACCGCCCGCCCGGGACGGCCCGCCGCGCAGGCGCCTGCCCCGTCGCCGCAGCCTACCCGCGCCAACACGCTCTGCCCGCGCCCGATGCCCGCTCCTGCTCCGCCGCCGCCGCCACCTCGTCCGCCCGCGTCTCCGGCTCCTCAGTCCAGCGGCGGCGGCTGCGGCGGCTGCTGCCCTGGTGGCGCTCGCGGCTCCGGTCTTCGCTTCGGCGGCGGCGGTGGCGAGCACGTGACGCCGCCGAGAGTGCCCATTGGCCGAGCTGGGGGGCGGGCCCCGCGGCTGCTGGGGAACGGAAAGCCCGCCCCCCTCGCTCTCCGCGCGCCCCCTCCACGCGCGCACTGCCGCACCTGAGAGCGCCAGCCAGCGCCCGCCCGCCGCCGCGCCGCGCCGGCGCCTGCGCCAACTGCGCACCTGGGAGCGCGCAGGGAGCACACGCCGGCGGCGGCCGCATGCACCTGCGAGCGGACGCTTACGTAAACTGCGTCCCCGCCTTCCTCCCGGCGCCGGGCCGCTCCCCCCTGCTGCAGCACCTGAGCCCCGCTGCGCTAGCGGCGTAACGCGCCGGGGCGCGGAAACGAGCTACACTGGGAGTCGCGCGAAAGGCACGGAAACTTCGTAACTTCCGAACCTGAGATCCCTCTGGGCGGCCGTAGCCAGCCGCCCTCGGCTGGCTCCGCGGCCCCTGGCGGGATTCCCCGAACGCCGGCGGCTACGCAAACGGAGTAGGCGCCGCAGTGTCTCCCCGGGTGGAGGAGGGGCGGGCCGTTGGGCTTTGACTTGTTAGAAGGTTCCCCCGCCCCCACCCCGCAGCCGGCCGGGTGACCTTGGCCAAGTGACGGAACCACGCTGAGCCTCAGTTTCCGCGTCGGGGAAAACTGGGGCAGGAATTCTGATGCCGGGTCTGGTTCTGATTAGGATTCTGTGGGGGAGGTGGCCTAAGACAATAGACGTGAATGCTCCTGGCACTGAGCAGAAATTGCCGCCATCACCTACCTGTCCTTTCTTCAGCCCTCAGTAACCTCCCTGGGACTGAGTTTGCGCAGGATCGGGTCCGGCTTTGGCAGAACACCGACCCTGCCCTGTGCCCCGGGGGGGCGGCGCTAGGAAAGACGCTCAGGTTTACTTTCCATTCTCCAGCTCCCGACCGCCACCGTGGTGCCCGACTTGCCTGGCAGTCAAGTCGTTACTAAATAGCCTGCCAGGCACCGTGCTGCGTGCTGGGATGCACGGAGCAGCTATCACCCTGGGGCTGAAAACCGAGGTGACCATCCGGGTGTCAGGGCTGAGGGGCTCCGCCGCGAGAGGGATCGCCCATAAAAGATCCCCGGGGCTGCTTCTCATCTTTCTGATAATATGCGGCTCAGCTTCACTCACAGAATAAAGCGTAAACATTGCAACTACAAAAGCCTTGGTGATGAGGCCTTGACCCTCCAAGCCACACTTGGCTGTCTGCAGAATACGTCCAGGTGTGTGACACCCCTGAACCTCCCGAGACAGGTGCAAAGCCCCAGGTCCCCACCTCTGGCCGCCCACACCTTCCAAAGCCTCCAGGAAACTCCCAGGCGGCCTTATGAGCGCAGAACACCCTCTGCGGAGCTCGCTGGCTGCCTGAGATGCATGACCCCAACTCCCTCTGCGTGCACGAAGCCCTGGCAAACCGGCACTGGACTGTAATCCCTCAGCTGTGTCTCCTCACTGAGGACAAGGTCATCTCGCTGCCCAGTTTGCTTAGGGGAGAGTCCACAGGTACGCGGGACCACCAAAGCTGGGTTTTGCAGGACGAACACAAGTATGTCAGAGGGAGAGAGACACTACAGTGTCAGTATCCAAATTCACTGCCCGTTAGCTGCGTGACCTTGGAAAATCAATCTCAGTAAAATGGTGCCCTCTCCTAAGGGGCGCCATCTCAAGCCCCAGACGCCATCTTGTACCATCAGCTTTGATCCCAAGCCCAGCCTGGCCGACCAGAAAGCAGGTGACCGAATGGCCCAACCACAAGCTCCACCCCCACCCTAATGGGATTCGCTACTCCCACGTATTTACCTCGGCAAAGCTATATAAGATCTGGTCTCCTCTTGGGGCCGGCACTGTGGCACAGGGGGTTGAAACCCTTCCTGAAGCGCTGGCATCCCATTAAGGGCGCTGGTTCTAGTCCCGGCTGCTCCTCTTCTGATCCAGCTCTCTGCTGTGGCCTGGGATAGCAACAGAAGATGGCCCAAGTCCTCGGACCCCTGCACCCACGTGGAAGACCCAAAAGAAGCTCCTGGCTCCTGGCTTTGGATTGGTGCAGCTCCAGTTGTTGCAGCCACCTGGGGGAGTGAACCAGTAGATGGAAGACCTCTCTCTCTGTAACTCTTTCAAATAAATAAAATAAATATTTTTTTAAAAATCTGTTATCCCAGTACAGGCTGCTGCATGAGAAGACAGCCTGTTGCCCCCCCCCCCCCCCACACACACACAATATACCTTCTCTGTTACTCGGGTGTTTGGTGTGTTTTGTGGTGGCCTTTCACTAGGTCTTAGTTTACTCATCTAGCAAATCAGAATAATAATGTTTCCGGGGCCGGCATTGTGGTGCAGTGGATTAAGTCACAACCTGCAGCACGAGCATTCCACAAGGGCACCAGTTCGAGTCCCAGCTGTTCCATTACCAATCCAGCTCCCTGCTAATGTGCCTGGGAAAGCAATGGAAGATGGCCCAAGTCCCTGGGCCCCTGAACCCATGTAAAAGACCAGGAAGAAACTCCCAGCTCCTGGCTTCGACCTGTCCTAGCCTGGGTCATTGTGGCCATCTGGAAAGTGAACCAAATAAATCTTTGGAGCTGGTACTGTGACATAATGGGTAAAGCTGCTGCCTGCAGTGCTGGCATCCCATATGGGTGCCAGTTCAAGTCCCGGCTGCTCCACTTCCAATCCAGCTCTCTGCTATGACCTGGGAAAGCAGTAGAAGATGGCCCAAGTCCTTGGGTACCTGCATTTGAGTGGGAGACCTGGAAGAAGCTCTTAATTCCTGGCTTCAAATCGACCCACCTCCACCTTTGCGGCCATTTAGGGAGTGAACCAGCGGATAGAAGACCTCTTTCTCTTTCTCTCTCTCTGCCTCTCCCTCTCTGTAATTCTACCTTTCAAATAAATAAATAAATCTTTAAAATAATACTAATATTGCAAAATTCATAGTGTTACAAAGATTCTATGAGACAGTTCATCTAAGGCACTCAGCATGGTGTCCTATACTGGCTTTAATATTGTAAATTAGGAATGCATGGCATTAAGGATTTATTAGTATCTCTTATTTCAATATCTGTATTGGGTTTACAACTCCAAACACTCATGACACAAACATGCAATTGGGGACCAGCATTGTGGTTTAGAAGGTAAAGCCACAGACTGTAACTCCAACATCCCATATGGGCGCTGGTTTGTGTCCCAGCTGCTCCCTGCTAATGGCCTGGGGAAAGCAGCAGAAAATGGCTCAAGTGTTTGGGCCCCTGCCACCTACATGGGCGACCTGGATGAAGCTCTTGGCTTCGGCCTAGCCATCTGGGGAGTGAACCAGTAGGAGGAAGATATCTCTCTCTCTCTCTCTGTAACTCTTTCAAAATAAATGAATCTTTTTTTTTCTTTTGACAGGCAGAGTGGACAGTGAGAGAGAGAGAGACAGAGAGAAAGGTCTTCCTTTGCCGTTGGTTCACCCTCCAACGGCCGCCGCGGCCAGCACACTGCGGCCGGTGCACCGCGCTGATCCGATGGCAGGAGCCAGATGCTTATCCTGGTCTCCCATGAGGTGCAGGGCCCAAACACTTGGGCCATCCTCCACTGCACTCCCTGGCCACAGCAGAGAGCTGGCCTGGAAGAGTGGCAACTGGGACAGAATCCGGTGCCCCGACCGGGACTAGAACCCGGTGTGCCGGCGCCACAAGGCGGAGGATTAGCCTAGTGAGCCGCGGCACCGGCTCAAAATAAATAAATCTTAACATAAAAAGGTAACTAATACAAAAGCCAAGCAAGTTAAAAGTTCAAGAGTGCTTCTTCCATCCTGCCCCTGACTGCTTCCTCTACCCTAATTCCACCTCCCAGGGCAGTTAAATTCTCTATGTCCCATGAGAAAGAAGGAAATTGCAGAAATTGACATATCTATAGTGTATATGCTGGAGTCTGCATAAACAAAGGTTAAAAAGAATTAAATACCAATTGTGACTGGTTAGAAAGTAGAATTGAGTGAGGGGACAAAAGACTTTAGCTATTCCTGTGTTGTTTTAATGTTTAAGGTTATAAATACACATCTACGGGGCCAGTGCCATGGCATAGCAGGTAAAGCCGCTGCCTGCAGCGCCAGCATCCCATATGGGCGCCAGTTCAAGTCCAGCTTCTGCTTTTCTGATCCAGCTCTCTGCTATGGCCTGAGAAAGCAGTACAAGATGGCCCAAGTCCTTGGATCCCTGCACCCACGTGGGAGACCAGGAGGAAGCTCCTGGATCCTGGCTTTGGATTGCTGTGGCTCCAGCCATTGCAGCCAACTGGGGAGTGAACCAGCGCATGGAAGACCCCTCCCTCTCTCTGCCTCTCCTTTCTCTGTGTAACTCTGACTTTCAAATAAATAAATAAATCTTTTAAAAATTAAATAAATATACATATAATATGTTTTTAGCAATTTACTGAAGTATACCTGCATTTCATAAAATTTTAAATTTCCTATGTGCAATTCAGTGATGTTTAGTAACTTTATTGAGTGGTGCAACATCAGTATAAATCAGTTTCAGAAAACAGCATTTTCTGGATTCCCCCACAAGTTCCATCCTGCTCATTTGCTGCTAATTCCCATTCCCACTCTCGGCCACATGCAACCACTAACCTACTTTCTGTATCTATTTTTGCTTTTTCTGGATTCATTTGATATATTTAAAAATAAATCAAATAGACCTTTTAGGAAAAAAAAGAATAAATGTGTCACCTCCTAATTCCATTCAATGACAATAATCACTGTTAATATTTGCATATATTGTTCCAATCTTTTTCTATGCATATAAATGTATATCTTTTACAAATGGTATCATACACCTCTGCTTTGATTTTTTTTCATTTAAGGTAATGATACTTCTATTTGTGTAACTAAATATTCTTCTCTATATTGTATTTTTTCCTTTAAAAATGTATATTTTTATTTACTTAAAGGCCACGCAACAAGAGAGAAAGAGATCTTCCATC